GTTCTGTGTATTAATCTTTTGTATTCTGGCTCCGGTAATTCCAAGAAATTTTCCTCCTCTGGACAATTTCTAGATTCTTTATTTTGGGAGCTTGCTGAAGCCATCGTGGATTGCCTCTTCATGTGATTTGATATTGACTCTTGTCTCAGAGCCATCAATAAATTATTATGTTTATTTATTTTATGTTTGCTTACTGTCTCCTAGCTTCTTGTTTTTTTTTTTGTTTTTTTGATAAGCCCAAATAGGCTGCTCATATGAGCTAGTTTGATTATTGGCACCTTTGAAGCTCTAATGTCCTGTCACCAGGTGGTTAGATCTGTTACTAGATTTGTGAGCTCAGGAGTCTGCCCACTTCTCCTGTATGAATTCAGCTCAGGTGCCCAGATAGATAGCCACCAAGTGTGTGGTGTAGGCTCTCACTTGCAGTCCTAGACAGGTGTTGGTGGTTGTTGTAGGCATGGACATCTGGCTGCAGCAGGGGGACACCCTCTGAGCAAGGAAGGGGGCTGACGGCACCCCCAAGTGTCCAGGAGGAAATCGTGTCCCTGTTCCCTAGAGCACGTAGGTGGGTGGGTTTTGCAGCCGGACTATGAGCACCTAACGCTGTTGGCTGTAAGGACCGGGGGGCACCTCTATTCATGGGCCCCTATCGCAGGTGGCTAGGTGGCATGGGTGGAGCCACCAGTCCTCAGGCCCCTGATGTGGGCAGAGCGGTGTCAAATGTCAAGAACCTGCCACTTCACAGCTGAAACGGTTGAAGTTAGAGTTCCGGTATATACCCTGTTGTACTGTGGCAATGAGGGCCTATGCTGTTGAGATGGGCCCACACAATTCTATGCAGGGGAAAGGCACTCAACGTCCGTGGATCCCTTATGCCTGTGCCTAGGCAAAGGAGCTGTGCCTACCCGGGGTTCCTGGCTTCGGGGAGTCGGCCATTCATTTTTTCCCCTTTTTGTTAATTTGTTCACTCTCCAAGGCAGGGAGAATGACTCTGGGTGTGTGACATATCCTACTTCTGGCCCGGGGGACTCGACAATTGCTGAAGCCGGTCCGGGACCCAATGCAGAGCAGGGAGCGGGGAGGTAAATTGGAGAGAGGTTTTTCCCTTAGAGGGTGTTTGTTATCTGCACTGTAAGCCGTAAGCAAGTACTTATGTTTCACCCTTGAGGGCTGCTTCTCACTAGTTCTGGGTGGCCATGTAGATTCTCTGGCGCTGGGTCTCTCCCGGTGTGGAAAATGCACCTTCCTAGCACCGCCGCTTGCCTGCCTCACCGCTCACCCACAAGCTGCTCAGGCCTGAAGGGCTCAGGCTCTTGCCGGGTCAGCTCTGGCAATTCCTCGCTGCTTCCAAGCCATCTCTCCCTCCCCCACCACTCAGTCCAGTTCCTCAACTCTGCCTTTGATGTTCAGGGCTCCCAGATTGCCATATATATGATCGAATCACTTGTTTTCTCAGGTCTTGGTTGTAAGAGGGTCCACCGGAAGCATCTGACTACTATGCCATCTTGGCCCCACCTCCCTCAAGTCTTTTGATGAATAAAGTTTTTAATGTTTATGAGGTCTAATTTATTTATTTTGCAGTTTATGCTTTTGTTATCACATTAGATAATCCATTGTTAAAAGCTAGACCTGAAAGCCTTGCCCCTACATTTTCTTCTAAGAATTTTATGGTTTTAGTTTTTACATGTAGGTCTTTAATCTATTTTAGATTTGGTTGTGGGTATGATGTGGGGTATGTATCTTGTTTCATTTTTCTGCATGTGGAAATGCAGTTTTCCCAACATTTATTGAAGAGACTCTTCTCTGGTCATTGAGTGAGCTTAGCACCCTTGTCAAAAATAAGTTGACCATAGATGTGTAGGTTTATTTCTGGACTCTCAATTCTTTTCCATTGGTTTATGTATCTATTGGTATACAAGTACCAGGATGTTTTGACTACTGTAACTGTATAATATGGTTTAAAATCAGGAAATGTGAGTCCTCCTATTTTGTTCTAATCTAGAGAAGCTTTTTTGATAGTCCTTCTTGAACAGTGGGAGCAGGGTGATTCCTCAAAGGGAAATCAGGTTATAGTTATTTTAAAGAAGGGGAAATGAGTGCCTGGCCAGCAAAATCAATAGATTTTCATTATAGGTAGGATGTAATAAAGTATAGGAAAGAGAGTATTCCAGAATGAGAATGAAAAGATAGCCTAAACCACATCAAAGATGACCTTAAAATGGGGGGAGGATCATAGATACCTGAAAATTTTGTGCAGTAAGTGGCATGATTAAAACTATGCTATAGGGACTGCTTATGTACAACCAAACACCTAATGGAATTTGTTTTCTTGGTTTGAGGGTTTAGGGTCATGGTTTCATGGGATAGCCCAGTGAATTGGCCTAATATTGTTTTCAGTGTTTCTGTTCTACCTCCTAGTTCATTGCATAGTGCTTGGGATCTTAAAAGCTTGCAAGTGGCCATCCAAGGTACAACAATTGGTCTCTATTTGCCATGAGCAGCAGAGGAAGAAGGAGAGTCAGGAATCGGAGGAGGAATTGGAATGCATGTCTAATTGTTTCCATGAACAACTGCCTCCTTTGCCATGAGACCAAAAGAACTGGATGGTGCCTAGCTACCCTTCCTGAGCTCAAAACGTTCATTTTGATCAAAGTTTTTATAGAAGAGTCATGATCAAAAGGGGGAAAAGTGTGGAACAGAATTTAAAATTCTCATGGACTCCAACACTTCTGGAGCCCTTGAGACTGGATGACCTCCCCGAAAACTACTGCCTTGAGATATTCTTTAAACCTTAAACCAAAACTATACCCTGAAGTCATCTTTAAACCAAACAATAGTTTAGCTTAATTAATAAAGAATGTTTCCCTTGAGCATTGTGCTCTTTTAGAGAATTATCTATAGGTGATCAAATGGACAACAGCAACTCACAATGTTGGATGAGAAGTGAGTTTATGTTAATGGTAGTTAAATAATTTGGGAAAGGGTAACAAGAATGGTTGCAAAACTTGAAGAATGTAATCAGTGTCACTGAATAGTACCTATAGAAATTGTTGAGTTGATGTATGTTTTTCTGTGTACAGTTTCACCAAAAAAAAAAAAAAAAAAAAAACTTATGCTATAGGGAGATGAATCTGGCGGCTGTGTGTGGAATATACTAAGACTAGAGAATCCGCAGAAAAAATAATGAAGACATTGGAAAGGGACAAAAGTGCTAACCGCTAGAATGATGTGACAGTGACTGTAAAATTAATCAGTGTTAGCGATAGATTTAGGAGTCCTGGTGGAGCAACGGTTTAGCATTTGTCTGTTAATTCAAAGGTTGGCAATTTGAACCCACACAGCAGCTCCACAGGAGAAAGATCTGGTGATCTGTTCTGGTAAAAGATTACAGCCTAGAAAACCCTTTGAGGCAGTTCTACTCTGTCACATGAGGTTACCATGAGTCCAGAATCGACTCAATAGCACCTAACAACAACAACAGTGATAGATTGGATATCGAGGGCAAAGAATGACAAGGAATCAAATATGGATGCTGTAATTTTGATGAGTAGAGTGGTGGTGCTATGGACAGAATTAGTGAATACAGGAATGTGAAAAGTTAGAAGGGAAAGAGAAGAATTTAGTTGTACCTAGAAGTAACAACTGTGATAAGGTGAGATTTAATGACATTTCCAAGGGATAGAATGTAGGAGAAGAGTAGAGGGATAAGGACAGAACCTTGTGGAGAATTTCCATTTCACAGGCAGGAGGACACAGAGAAGTCTGGGAAGGAGTAGTTAGAAAGGAAAGAAGGAACCAGGAGAGTCCAGTAACAGAGAGGATAGACGAAGATAGTGTTTTGAAACAAAAGTGGTAATCAGTTCTGGAAAATATTCCAGGGATGTAGTGGAAGATAAAAACTGGTAATAGGTGGTTTAACTTGGCAGTGGGAAGTCATCATCAGCTTTCTGGAGAACAGTTTCAGAAGAGATGTGTGAGTGGTAAACATTGCAGAGAAATTTCAAATAAGTTTTATTTTTAACAGAAAGATAGCAATAAAGGGAGAGAGGGAGACAGACAGACACCACGATGACATAACAATGATTCATGGTCGAGGAAAGATTTTTCCTAAGAAGAAAAAGACTTGAGTTATAGACCAAGGGAATGTATCCAATAGAAGGGGAGATACCCAGAAGTTATGATTAATGGAATAAGCTCCCTGAGGATGTCAGCAAAGGTGAAATCTAGTACATAATTGGAGGGGATAATTTTGGGGAGAATGAGAATATTCTTAATCTGAGACTGAAAAAAATGAAAGGATTTTGTGATATGAACAAGAATTTTCGGGTGGAGAAGACAAAGAATATGGGGGGAACTCATGACTAATGCCTCTGTTGTCTTAGTAAAGTATGAGGTAAGAAGGTCAGTTTTGCTGACACAAATGCCTATTTTTACCCACTAGAAGGATGTGTGTGGGCCTTACCCACTCTTATCCAGTAGTCAGACAGAAAATTTATTTTGTAAATATATTTTTCTTGTTTTCTAGGGATATTTCATTTTTGTATGATGTTAAATATGTAAAAGGAGAGACTAGGGAGAATACGGTCTGTCCCCCACATAAGGACCGTTCATTACAGTCACAAGATGGTGTCATTGTGCCTCATAAGGTAAATAAAGTATTTTGACAAATCATTTTCTCTCTATTTAAAAAAAATTATTTCCCCAAAATATAAAGCAGTGTCTTGGTATAACAGTAACCTGCATTGCTTATCAGTCTTCAAAGCACTTCCTAGTTATTTCTAGAAAAGGATATTTAATTGGTAAAGATCAAAGATTTTTTTAAGCCATTTTCTAAACCACAGTTATCCACTTTAATCTAGAAAATACAGTATAGAAGTCTAGATTTCTGTTTTGTTTTTTTCAGAAATCTACAAATTCAGTTGTAGAATTCTTATTTTGGGGTCTTACTAAGGTGAATTTTAAATTTCCTATTGAATTTAAGAGAAAAGAGTAAACAAATTTGTGAGCATATGGAGCACATGTCACTAATACTAGAACCAAGGTTGTTCTTCAACTGAAGGTTTTTTTTTTTTTTTAATTTAAGTATGTTCTGCTAAGAGTTTTTTGCCACTTGCCAGTAACCACATTACTAATATTATTATTTCTCTAATCAAAGTATCTCAGCTTAATAAATAGTATCCCTTTAGGATAGGAGTTAAGATTTATGCAACTCAATTTTTTTCAGCTATTAATATATTCATTCTTTTCTTTGCTCTTTTTTAAGCCTAAGAGATTAACAGATACTTTGATTCCTGAAGAATTTCATATTGTGTCAAATACAGGAGTTTCAGGTTTGGAGTGTTATGATGAGTGAGTACTATAATATGTACTGAACACCTGACAAGTTGAACTACTTATTCTCTTTCCCAGACACAGAGGAAACTGAGAACAATGGTACACTCGTGTTCCTATGCAGTATAAGCAATAAAATAAGGAAACACTTGGAGTAGTCATCCTAATACAATTTAAGAAAAATACCAAAAACCAATGAAAAAGTCTTAAAAGAGTTTGGAATGTTAGTGATTAGTTCTCTGTCTTTTCATGCTGTTTAATTTTGAAATTAAAAAAAAAAAAAGAACTTTATTCTGAATACTTGACTATGCCTCTTTAGGAATAGCTATGAGCAATGATCGTGGAGACCAGGGCAAGTAGCCAGAATCTCATAATGCATGCTTTAGGACTTAGCTCCAGACTGCAGAACAGTCATCTCTAGTTTTCTTTGATTCCTGTTTATGGGACTGAAAGTGGGATCTTGCTTTTATTTTTTGAGATAGCACTTGAATTTTTTATAGTTTAAAAATCTAGAATTTTGGACTAAGGTTTTATAATAAAATATCCAGGGACTGTCAGTCTTTTTACTTTATTCAGTATGTATCTTATATGGCATTTCCTTATGATGGTGGATATCAGAACAATATTTTGCTAAAGAGAACTAAATGGAACTCATTTTTTGATAATTTTATTTTTATATAATTTCAAATTTACAAAAAATTATAAAAATAAGTTAATTTTTACCTTCTATCCTAATTCAATGATTATTTCTGTTTTGCCTCATTTGCTTTATCATACACACACATAGAATGTATATGTATACAGATACATACGTACATACATACATACATATATATATATTTGGAGCCCTAGTGGTGCCGTGGTTAAGCACTTGGCTGCTAACCAAAAGGTCGGCAGTTCGAATCTACCAGCCACTCTGTGGAAACCGTATGGGGAAGTTATGGTGACTAGGAGTCGGAATTGACTCGATGGCAACGGGAACGTGACACATATATTTGGTGTAAAGGGCCATGATGTCTCCAGTTTACTCTTGAATAGTTAAAAAAATGTGTGTGTTTGTATATATATATGTATTTGTGTATGTATGTATATGTATGCCTATATATATACACACACCATATTTTATGCAAATAACGTGTGCCTTCTATGTTTGTTTACCAACCACACCCTCCCCCTATGCGATATTTTTGTAAGCATGCTATGCTAATTTTTTTTTTTTTACAGCAGAATGTAAAAAAAAAATTGGTAGAGTGACACTTATGAAAGTACCTCTCTGGGGGTGGACATGGTTGGCAAACAAACATAGAAGACACTCGTTATTTGTGTAAAAATACAATATATATAAAACACACATATATATATTTTAAACTATTCAAAAGTAAGTTGGAGACATCATGGCCCTTTACACTAAATACTTTAGTGTATATTTCCTAATAACATAAACATTCTCTTGTATAATCATAGTATAGTTATCAAAATCAGGAAAATGTAATGTTGGTACAGTATTATTATCAGTCCATATTCAAATTTTATCAGTTACTCCCTAGCTTTTTGTTTGTTTGTTTGTGAGCAATTTTAATAGCTTTTTTCTCCCTAGTGCAGGATCACAATCCCCTATCACATAATACGTTAGATAAATCCCTTTAGATAACTTTAATCTGGAACAATTTCACAGCCTTTCTTTGTCTTTCTTGACCTTGACATTTTTGAAAAGTACAGACCAGCTACTGGGTAGGAAGTTCCTCAGTCTGGGTTTGTCTGATATTTTTGTGTGATTTGATTCATATAATACATTTTTGTGAGGAACACTACAGAAGTGATGTTGTGATCTTTTCAGTGCATCAGGAGAGACATGATGTCAGTTTGTCCTAATATTGGTGATGATAGCTTTGATCAGCTGGTGCCTGCCAGGTTTTCCACTGGAAAATTAATACTTTTCCCTTTGTAAGGAATAAGCATTTTGTGGGGAGATACTTTGGGACTATGTGAATATCCTTCATCAAAATTTCACCCACTCGTCAATCCTTTCATGATTTTTTTAACTGCACCATTTCTTCTATATTTATTAGCTGGCATTTTACTATTTGGCTCTATTTTATTCAATGGATTATAATTCTTTACTATCATTATTTATTTTGATAGTCAAATTGTCCCAGATTTGGCCAATGGCAGCTGCTCTGAACTGGTTCTTGTGTTCTTTGGAAATGTCCCCATCATTCTTTTAGCACTTTCTTATTTCCTGACTCAGTAAGGTTTCCAGGTTCATCTTGTACTTTCCAACTCTAGCCCCAGAATGAGCCATGAGTCACTTCTCCAGGGGGTCCTGATTCCTTTTAGTGGAGAATGGTACTTAGAAACCAAGATCTGGCTGCTAGGCGTGCTCAGAAATGCTCGTGGGGTATCATTGCTTCTAGTCCGTCTCACACACTCATTTTTGAAACTTTATTTTGAGTCTTTATACTCCCCATAGATTGTTCACTGGTATAAATTCGGAAACTGGACCTTATTGATCAACTGTGATCCACTAGTGATCAGAACCAAAGGAAATGCTTATTTACTAGGGGAAAAAAATTTATAAATAATTAATTTAAAGGATTACCATGGAGTTCATGGAATCATTTTTATTGTGATAATCACTTACATGTAAATAAGCACTTTCAGAGGACAAATATGACTGGGAGACGGGAAACCTGGGTTCTCTGCATGTTATTAGTTTTGAAAACTGGTCGGTCATTTAACTTTGTTGACCTCAGCGTTCTCAGAACATCCTTTCACCTTTGAAAAACGTATATATATATATTTTTAATGAATCAAGGAAAATTTCATATTGTAACATATTATTGAGGACTGTGATTAAATTTCTTTTCCTTAAAAATATTCCAAATATAATAAATGTCATTATATGTATGTCTATAGATGTCAGTGGATACTCATGTGCAAAATGATGGGCTTTTTGATTGTCTCTCAGCTTCTCAATTCCATGAAGTCTAAGTTTATCACGTGATGTGTGATAAACAGGCATAAAATTTTCTTAAAATAGCATTTACCTGTCTTGTTTATTGTAGCAAATATACTACCCTGCTCACAGATAGTGAAAACAGGCTCTTGCTTTTCCCGTCCATGTAAGTACGGTTTGTTTTCTAAAATGTTTCTCAGAAAGAATAACTATATACATATATATTTCTTTTTCTTGGTGTTTTATTACACAGACTATTAAAATTACAGCAGAAACGGAAAACAATTATTGCCTATAATACTATCATCTAATCAGTGTTTACATTTGTCCAATTTGATATTCAATTTTACGTATTTGTAATAATATTTAAGTACTATTAAATACTTTTATATTCTACACTTAACCATTAGTATTTCCTCATGTTGCTACAGTCTTTTTTTTAATATGTCCTTTACTTCTTTTCTTCGTAACCAATGTTAACAGTTTGGTGTTTATCTCTCTACATCTTTTTCTATGTTCTTACAATCCTACACAATGGGTATATAGAATTTTTGGAGAGAAACATTATTTTCTTTTACAAGAAAAGGATCATACTATTTGCATTTTTCTGCCACTTGTTTTATTCACTGAAAACATATTATTAGATCAATAAATACAGGTCTAATGCTTTAAAATAGCATTAATATTTTATAGAGTATATATTTCATTACACACTTTTTTTTTTTTTTTTGCCTTTTGAGGATGACCTGTTGTGACACTAATTATGTAATTCTACCACCTTGATCTTTTAGGAAACCTAATAAAAGAGTAGAAGTGGTCCAGCTGAATGATGTGATGGATACTATGCTGGAGAGGGCTGGCGTGGAAAATGAGGAATATATAGGGCCAACACAGGTAATTTCAAAGATTGATATAACCTAGTGGTTAAGAGCATGCACTCTAGAAGCAGAATGCCTGGGCTGGAATCCTGGCTGTGGTGACCTTGGGTAAGTAATTTAATGTATTCATGCCTCAATTTTCTTATCTGTAAATTAGAGATAACAATGTTATCTACCTGATAGGGTTGCTGTGGAGATTAAATGACATAATGAGTGTAAAGTGCTTAGAACAGTTCTTGGCACAGGGTAAGTGCTGTATAATTAATTATTAGTATCATTATTACTGTATTTAAATAAATATAAGACATCATTGATTATAAGTCCTTTTATTATTTTATGTACCACTAAAAACCACTGCCTGTTAAACCACTGCCAATTAAACCATACTCTATTACGACTTACAGTCTTTATTTTGTGCTTAATAAGAGTTCTTTCAGTCTTATATAGATAAATAATTTTTTTCTTTATGAGGGCTATTTCTTTTTTTCATTTTTGTTTTGTAAATTTTTATTTTGATATAATTTGAAACTTACAGAAAAGTTACAAGAATAATACAAGGAACTCCTATGTGAACTTTACTCAGATTCACCAATTATTTACATTGTATCCTATTTATGGTTCTCTGTGTATGTGTATATGTATATACACACACACACACACACATAAATAGAGAGAAGAGAGAGTGAGAGAGAGAGTGCACCCTGGTGGTGCAATGGTTAAGTGCTGGGCTGCTAACTGAAAGGTAGGTGGTTTGAACACACCTAGCGACTCCACTGGAGAAAGACCTGGCAATCTGCTCTTGTAAAGATTACAGCCAAGAAAACTCTATGGGGCAGTTCTACTCTGTCACATGGGGTCACTGTCAGGGTCGACTTGACAACACACAACAACAACATATTTATGTTATTATAATTATATATGTTATTTTTTCTGAACTATTTTAGAGACATCATGCCCTTTACCACCAAATATTTCAAATAGTGTGTATTTCCTAAGGACAAAGACATTCTCTTACATACTCACAGTAAAACCAAAAAAACCATACCTGTAGCCGTCAAGTCAATTCCGACTCATAGCGACCCTATAGGACAGAGTCGAACTGCCCCATAGAGTTTCCAAGAAGCACCTGATGGATTCGAACTGCTGACCTTTTGGTTAGCAGCCAAGCTCTTAACCACTACACCACCAGGGCTCCATGTTCGTAATACAGTTATCAAAATCAGGAAATTTAACATTGATATGTTAGTATTATCTACTACAGTCTATATTCAAATTTCAAATTTCATCAATTGTCCCTATAATGTCTTTATAGCTACTTTTTCCCCCAAGTTCCAGACCCCAGCCAGTATCACAGCGCTTTTGAACAACTTAATCTGAAACAGATCTTCATCCTTTCTTTGTTTTTCTTGACCCTGGTATTTTGAAGAGCACAGACTAGTTATTCTGTAGAATGTTCCTAAATTTGGATTTGTCTGATGTACTGTCATGATTTGATTCTGGTTTTGCATTTTTGATAGGTATACCACAGAAGTGATGATGTGGCCTTCTCATTGCATATAAAGAAGCACGTGATTATACATAGATTTTTAAAAGTCATTACTTTTGTATTTATGTAAAAAGGAAAACATAAGTGAAACAAATTAATCAAGGTGTTTCTAAAACTTAGACACATTCAGAATACTTACCTCCTAAAATGGCTTTTACTGATACGATTGATATATACTGGTTATCTTATTCTGCCAGATGCACAAACTACTGCATATGTTGAAGAAGGAACAGACCATTTACAACACAATATTTCACGAACTTATTCGACAAGTCAGTGTGGACTGTGCAGATAGAGGAGAGTTACTTTCCAAAATCAGGTTAGAGCTGTTATTGGAGTATCCCAGTTTCCTGTTGAATTTTGTATTAGAATATATTTATATCTGCTTTTGAGAAAGCTGCAAAAATACACTGTTGATAGTAGGGAACCTAATTTCATTTCTACTATATTTTATATAGTAAAAATATAATATCATAGTTGAGAACTTCCTTGAGGTGGTTTCTGTTGGGATGTTTGACACCATATTTTTTTATGTTCAGTAGTAAACTGTTCTGTGAAATAATGGAAAAAGTGTATGTTCTGCAACCAGACAGATTTGGGATCTGGTTTCAAATCCTCATTCAGGCCTCATTCTAAGCCTTAGTTTTCTCATCTATAAATGAGGATAATAACTACCATTAAAGTTTTCATTTGTCTGTTGGTTTATTTATCAGTGTCATCTATTCAGTTTTACTCTGTGCCAAGCATTAAGTTGCTTCATAGGATTGTAGTGAGGTTTAAATGAGAGTACAGAAGTAGCTACTCAATGAATTTAATTATAATAATTAATTATGATGATAAATATTAGATACCATAATTCTTATTATGATTATGGTTCTTTCAGAAAAGCCTAAAGGAATAGTAGAATCAGAATCAGGAGTTCAAATTGCATATCTTCAGCTCACTTTCCATGAATCATAGGCAAATTTCAGATCTCTCCAATTACTAGTTTCTTCTAAATGAGACTTAATAATATCAATTTGCCATCTTTTATGGGTTGAATTGTGTCCCCCAAAAATGTGTGTCAACTTCTCAGGGCCATGATTCCCAGTATTGTGTGTTTGTCCACCATTTTGTGATTTGATGTGATTTTCCTACGTATTGTAAATCCCGCGTCTGTGATGTTAATGAGGCAGAATTACAGGCAGTTACGTTAGTGAGCCAGGACTCAGTCTACAGGATTGGACTGTATCTTGAGTCAATCTCTTTTGAGATATAAAAGAAAATCGAGCAGAGAGGAGAGGGACTTCATGCCACCAAGAATGAAGAACCAGGAGGGGCGTGCATCCTTTGGACCCAGGGTCCCTGTGCTGAGAAGTTCCTAGACCATGGGAAGACTGATGACAAGGACCTTCCCCCAGAGTGGAAAAAGAGAGAGAAAGCCTTCCCCTGGAGCTAGTGCCCTGAATTCGAACTTCTAGCCTCCTAGACTGTGAGAGAATAAATTTCTTTTTGTTAAAGCCATCCACTTGTGGTATTTCTTTTATAGCAGCACTAAACTAAGACACCTTCTTTGCCCACTGTCTGATTTGTTGAAGCCAAGTTCCCTCTATCTGGCAATGCTGAGAAACTAGGAGCAAAACCATTAATAAGAAACAGCCAAGGTTAGATACTAAGAAGTGAGTAGCTGGGACATCATTAAGAACTGGAGAATGCCAATTTACATGAGGATAGTGACAGCCAAGGTCTCAGTTGTCAATATAAGAACAAAGCCATGAGGGATAGGCAAGAAAGCAAGGCAAAAGAACTAGGGGACTAACAGAATAATCTTGTGGCCAACGTTTTGGTAGGAGCTATTTTGAAGGGCCAGGACCTACCTTCCATGGGGAGTTTTGTTGTCCTGAGCTGCCATCTTACATGTTTCTATAATCTTCTGTTTCACAAGATTGTTGTGAGGATCCAATAAAAGTACCTAGTTAATGGAAACACCATGCGCTAGAAAATGCTGTCATCCTTTTATAATCTGTCTCTTTTGGCAAGGTACTGTAGCTTTCTGCTCTTTGAGTGCTTTCTGATCAGCATGTAGGTGTGTCTGCTTCTCACTCAACTGCCTCTGAGGCCTATTGCTGCAGAAGGAGGGTTTCATAATGTTTGTTTTTAGGGAGAAGAATAACTGCCAGTTGGGTATGAACTGAAAAAGACTTCCCCACTACCAAGAAATAGGAATGCTGCTGTAATTCTTTTTTTGTTGACACTATAAAAATCTGTTGGTTGTAGGCACCAGACTTTTTTTCCGCCTAGTTATTATGTTTATTTTTTCAAATATTTTATTATAAAATTCTTCAAATACCCAGAAAAGTTGAAGGAATTTTTACTGTGAACACACATATAGTCACCACCTAGATTCTACTGTTAACTTTTTACTCACTTTTTGAAAATTTTTATTGTACTTCAGGTGAAGGCTTACAGAACAAATAGTTTCTCATGAAACAGACGTACACATGTTGCTTTATGACATTGGTTAACAACCCCACAACATATGAACCCTCTAACTTCTCAACCTTTTTTTTTTCGGTGAAAATACACATAGCCAAAGATACACCATTTCAAAAATTTCTACATGCACAGGTCAGTGACATTGACTATGCTTTTCAAATTGTGCTATTATTCTCACTTAAGATGAAGGCTTACAGAACAAAATAGTTTCTCGTTTAACAGTTACTACAAATGTTGCCCTATGACAATGGTTAACAATCTCACAACACATCAACAATATCCTTACTCAACCTTGGGTTCCCTATCACCA